AGATCAAACACCCCAGCAGGATCCTAGGAATTGCCCTGTCAATTCTCCACTTCATCCAGAGGAAAAAGGGATGGAAGAAATTTGCTATCTTGAGGAAATAGAAAATGCTGAGGCAGGTGGCAAACCAGACGCTTAAATGGTTGGTTAGTGTCCAGAAGTAGTCAATGATTCTCATTTGTTTACCACCAGTATAGACATCTGGATACAGGACCATTATGTAACAATCCAATAGTATTATACATAAGAGAGAAATTCTGGAGATGGCCAGGCTTGTGAGGATTAAATCAATGGATGCAATCTTCTTGTGCTTGATCCAGTCCACAAAGTTTACCAGTCCAATGAATGCATTCCCTAAAATCCCCAGTGAACATTCCCCAGCTGCTATGAGCATTAAGATACCCTCCTCTTCACTTGACATGTTAAAATGCAGAAATATCCAATTCACTTCTAGTTGAACAGATGTAGTATCTACATCTACTTCTTGGATTTTGCTGTAATTTTCTTTATCCCTTTTATTGTAGTCTGCCTTGAGATGGAGACTGAAATGACAAATGAAAACTGTAGCTATCTTCCTTAAATCCTAGCTAGTCTTGAACAAGTAAAGCAGTTGTCTGTCCCTGGACCCTTTCTCTATCTATGTCCATTTACTTTCTTTGCGGATTTTACTTTTCCACATGTGCTTAATTTAGGCTGAGCTATAGCATGCTAGGATGCAAATTAGGCTGATTCACTTTCATGGTCTGGCATTTTCTCAGGCTATGTTTTGCAAATTGGGATCATTAATTTGTAATGCACACTAGTGATTTTAATAGGGCTGCCAGATTTACCAAATAAACTTATAGTGAAAAAAAGTGAAAGTGTTAGTCTCTCAGTCATTTATGATTTTTTGCGACACTACAAACTATAGTCCTCCAGGCTCCTTTATCCATGGGATTCTCCAGGCAAGAATATTGGAGTGGGAAGCCATTCTTTTCTCGAGAGAATCTTCCTGACTCAGGCATCAAACCCAGGTCTCCCATATTGTGGGCAAATTCTTTACCATCGGAACCACCAAGAAAAACCAGACTTACAGTACATCCAGTTAAATTGAATTCCAGATAAACAATGAAAGGGTTTTTAGTGTATGTCCCAAATTACATGCAATTAGTACTTCTGGGAAGTACTGAAATTCAATTTTAACTGGGTGTCTTGTATTTTATCTGAACCTCAGGGATTTTTTTTTTTTTTTTTGGTAATTAGAAAATGCACAAAAATTGAAATTTGAACAAGAGTCTTCATTTTGTCAAAATATGGTTTTGATTACTACTAAAAATCCAAAGTTTGGGTCAACACTGAGAACTACATATTTTCAGGAAATTTGAAAGGTTAACACTAAATATAGTCTATTAAATTCTAAAAAAGTGCCTCACTTATCTTGGTTGTTCAGGTGAACAATTATATAGCACAAGGTCTCTTAAAGGAAGGCACTACTAGACCTGTGACATTTAAAGGTCATTTAATGTATATTTGTTATGCTCTATGTAAGAAGGTGAGGGAGCCATGGTAAAGAAGAGTATTGATTACCTTTAGGGTTTTCTTTTTCATTTAAAGTGTTCTCAAGGGCAGTTATATATACAAGGGGGAAAAGAGTAAAATATTGTGCTTCATTCTACTCTTTACCCTCTGCTCTACCAAATTGCATCTGAATAATTAGGCCCCTGGGCTTTCCAGGTGACACTAGTGGTAAAGAATCCACCTGCCAATGCAGGAGACAGAAGAGACCTGGGTTCAGTCCCTGGGTTGGGAAGATCCCCTGGAGGATGGTATGGCAACCCACTCCAGTATTCTTGCCTGGAGAATCCCATGGACAGAGGAGCCTGGTGGGCTACAGTCCATAGGGTCACAGAGAGCCGGACATGACTAAAGCGACTTAGCATGCACACACATTTAGGTCCTTAACCCTTCTAGGTTGTTAGACAGGGGACTGAAGATGAAATTTACCTCATTTCTACAGCCTAGCTCCTGTTTTGAAGTAGCTTCTCTTATTCAGTGTTACAGAGAAACACTTTACTATGTTGTGTTTGTATGGAATAATTCTGGGAATCTCAGTACCTTCCAGGGAAATGCTTATCTTTTCTCATCCTTCCTCCAAGTCCAGACATTTATTCTTACATGTGGCCCTGACTTTGGACAAACTGCTTTCTCAATAGCCAAGTTCATAGGTGAGTGCCCTCCTCTGATCTTGGAAGTAATCCCTGACTCAGGCACACCATTTTCTTCTCTACAGTGTTCTGGTGAGTAACCTACTCACAGTAAATAAAATGATACATTTACCCACATAAAGTTTAGACTATAATTTTTTTGTAAATAAATGTAGATTATATGTTTTACTATTGTTGTCATAGCATGGAAGGTATGATGCAGCTAAAAGGGAAAAACAGTACAAAAGTTCCTCAAAAAACTCAAAATACAACTGTTATTTGATCCAGCAACCTCATTTTTGGGTGTACATACATGAGAATGGAAATCAGGATATTGAAAGAAATCAGGATCTTAAAGAGGTAATTTGTACTCTTAGGCTTACTGCAGTGTTATTCACAATAGCTAAAATGTAAAAACAACCTAGCTGCTCACTGACAGATAAATGGATAAAGAAAACATAGCACATATATATGGCAGGATATTATTTGGTCTTAAAGAAGAAAGAAATCTTCCAGTATGCAAAATCATGGGTAAACCTGGAGGACGTTATGCCAAATGAAATAAGTTAGTTACAGAAAGACAGATCCTATATGATTCCACTTAGATGAGGTATTGAAAATAATCTAAGTCCTGTAGCTAAGAGTAAAACAGTGGTTGCCAGGGCCTGAGGGAAGGAAGTAATGAATAGCTCCTATTAAAGAAGTACAGAGTTTCAGGGAATTCTCAAGTGGTCCGAGGTTAAGAATCCACCTTTCACTGCTGGGGACATGGGTTCAATCCCTGGTCAGGGAACTAAGATCCCACGTGCTGCAACTAAGGCTGTGTGCCACAACTAGACAGCCTGCATTCTGTGTGCCATGACTAAGATCTGATGAAGCCACAAATAAAATATTTTTTTTTAAAAAGAGCACAGAGTTCCATTATTGAAAATAAATAAGTGTAAATAAATAGAAGAAATAAATAAATGTGGGAGACAGAAAAATAGAGATCTGGTGTAAAACATTGAGCATCTAATCAACAATACTGTCTCATACACAAAAATTTGTAAAACAATAGATTTCATGTTATATACCCTTACTCAATTAAAAAAGAAAAAGAAATTCTGCAAAAGAGCATTTTGTCACAAGTCTGCCACTTTGAGTCCCAGTGACAGTCACTGGAGATATTTGAAATACTGGAGATACAGAAAATAAAACATGAAAGACAGGACTTCAGATGGATAAAAGGAAACCTTCCCAGAAGCACAAATGTTATAAAACATTTATTTCATCAGAGCTTATAAAAGAATATATAGTTAATCCCAACATAGGATGTACAAATTCTTTGTAGACTATATTTGTATATTCCATCAAAAATATCAATTCTTCTGTCTTTATCTTTTTGCAAATAAGTGTAGCTTTTATATTTACAATTGTTGTACAGCATGTAAGTTACAATGCAGTTACTACAGAAAACAGTAGAAAACTTAATAAAACATTATAATACCTGATATACTAGAGATATAGTTGATGACATTTATTTACTTAAGACTAAATACTGGTACTTTGCAAAGTGAATTTTGCATAATCTTATGCAGAAAAATTGATAATCTTCAGGTAATTAATATATTAATTTTAATAAAAGGAAATGAGCAGATTGAAATAGACCTGAATTCAACACAGAGAGTGGTGGGGGCCAAAATGTAGAGACAGATCAGAAGAGACAGGACTTTAGATGTGCCAGATCAAATGTTTCAATTACACTCTAGAGAGGAAGGAATTGATGTTCACAGTAGAACCACATTTTATTAATGAGTCTTATTTTTCTCTTTTTGCTTTTTTTTTTAACTTACTCTGTGTGTTGCAGACATAATAATGCCTTATATGTAGTTATACCATGGTGCATGATACCTTCTTCCCAATTAATTTCTCATCTAAAGTCCTGAATGGGAAAAAAAATACCTGCGGGTCTTACTAAGGAAAGATCATCCTTCTACCCAAGTTACAAAGAGTACTTAGGAAAGCCCCTTAAAGGGAGATGATTGAATGGGTTCTATTCCTAGCCCAGTGCTGGCCTGTTAAGCAAGTTTTTTGTGACAAAATTTAATTTCAAGGAAATGAATAGAAGATGCCTGAGTAAGGTCACCAGGAAATATTAAGTGTGAGACCACCAGAAGTATCACACACTTGGGAGGAGAAAAGTGTGTAATTGGGAAGCTAAACTAGTAAAGACAGAAGAGATCTGAGTTCCTAGTTCATATGTCAAACAGGAGGGACTCAGCAGAGCCAGGAAGGGAGAACAGTTAAGGACCAGCAATGAAACTGTATGATAGAGGAAAAAAAGAGAGAGAGACCACTGTGGTTTCAGATGCACTTTCCATGGGATTTTCCAGGCAAGAATACAGGAGTGGGTTGCCATTCCTTTCTCCAGGGGATCTTTCCAGCCCAAGGATGGAACTCCAGTTTCTTGCATTACAAGCAGTTTCTTTACTATTTGAGCCACCAGGGAAGCCCAGATGCACTCTACTAGGGGCCAAAATAAAATCTTAAAGGAATTTAAGTAGGCATTACAAGACCGATACTGGCAGTGAAGAGACAAAATCAGAAGTGTGAGCTCTGAAATTCTTTTAGAAAAGGGAGTGTAAAGATGAGAGTGTCTGTGGTGTAAAAAGACACAAAAGATATATCCATTAGTGTGCTAATGGGTCTCACTACTCCTCAAAGCTGTGTACCCAAATAAACAGAAAAGCTGGAAAACAATGAGAAGGGACCTATAAGAAAAGTGAGTTTTTTATTAGAAAATAAGGTTTGCTATTAAAGTCCTTTTATGAAACCAAGATTTTACATCATGCAAGCTGTTTTCCCATATATCAGCATCCTGACAGATGCAAGCCTCAGCTTGCTATTTCCAACAATTAATAACAGTGAGTGACCTAAGGGATAAAGAATTGCTATAATCTCTCCAGACATCATAGCTAACCTGCTTTCTTTCATAAGGTAGCTAAATGTTGCCAAAAGACAGGCCAGGTAGTATACAAAAAGGAAGAAAAGAAATGAAGTCACTGTTTTCATGGCCCCCACATGGGCCTCTGTGCTGGAGTCTCTGGAGCCTGTAACATTGGATTTCATTTGCTTACTGTGTCTCTATAGGGACATAATTAAAAAGAAAAATGAGATCAATGACACAGTAAATGGAATAATTGCTAACAGGTTAAACAGTGTCAATGGGTCAAAGTATTGAATTTTACTCACATGGAACAATTCAGTGACGTTTCTTTTATGTTTTGCAATTTTAAGAAAATCATAATCAGAATTTGTTAACGTTGCTTGTATAAGGCTGATCAACATGGAAATGGCCAGGGACCCCAGCAGGCTCCAGTGAACCACCCTCTCGATTCTCCACTTCAGCCAGAGAAAAAGTCGGTGGGAGAAATCGGCTATCTTGAAGAAATAGAAGACATTGAGGCAGGTGGCAAACCACATACTTAAGTAATTGGTGAATGTCCAGAAGATATTAAGAATTACCTTTATTTCCTCATTTTCATAAACACCTGGGTAGAGTGCCAGGATGGTGCCGTTGGCTGTCATTACACAAAGCAAACCAATTCTGGAGAGAGATAAACTGGTGAGGATGTAGTCAATTGTGGAGATCGTTTTCTTCTTAATCCAGTCAACACATATTACTAGTCCAATGTATCCATTCACAAACATTCCTATGATGAATTCTGCAGTCGTTATGGTCAGAAAGATGTGGTCGACCGAACATGTCGAGAGAGAACTTCCTAATCTCAAATATTACTGCGAGATGACCAGCAGAGCATGACAAATGCATTCTTCAAATCTTAGAATAATTTTTTCCTTTGTCATTATTTTGACTTTGATATCCTCCAGAAATGTCCAGCTCTCCTCTGAAATAGAATTGCCTCTACATTTATGAAGAATAAGCCAACTGATTGTTGCAAACAGCATAACCAGATTTGTAGCCTGGATAAATTATAATTATCACCCCTGATGGAGTGATAACTGAAATGTTTTGTTGAAATTGATCTCATGCAAATTAAGAGATTATATTTCATGAATTTGCAATAGGCTTCTTGCTATTAAGTTCTGCATATTTGGATGGATCAAGCGGAATTTCAAATAGGGAGGCACAAAAAAACTAACATAAACACCCATTTAATAAAAGTCAAAATGTGTAAATGAAACTTCATTTTCATCACCATAGATTATAAATTTCCCACAAGTCGAGTCTCCTTGTGAAAATGGATTTTAGTTTTGGAAACAGTGCAATCAGATACAAATTAGTCATGATACAAAATGAGTTATATGATTGATTTTATAGGAAGGGCTGATGTGTTTTAAACTCTCTTCCCCACAGGCTGTGCACTTGAAATTCTTCTTATTGATTTTATTATTGAGTTCAAGGCCTTTACTAGTAAGAGGCAAAAAGTAGTAGAACATTGCTTTGCATTTAGGCAATGATATGAAGTGTGAATATGAGGTTTAGATTAATTTTTCCTGTCAAGATAAAGAAACACATCTGGCTCCATTATAACATTAGATTCAAAATTATTCAAGACAGAAATGAGAAGAAGTATTTAGAATAATGGCAGATATGAATGATTTCCAATAGCTCATAATAAAAATGGAATGCAAACAACTGAGAAAAGGGAGAGACTCTTTTGTTGATTTCTTTCTACTTAAATCAGGATTCTCTGGGAAACAAAATATTCTCTTATTTTGTGGAAACCCTTCACAACCTCCAGCACCTTCAGAAAAGCCTCCCTCAGCTTGCTGTTTCCCATAAACAGGATGAACGAATGGCTCAATGGGACAGTGACAGCTCTTAGGCCACCAAATATCACCTCCAATTTTCCATGAGGAATCAGAAAGCTAGAGGTTACAATGAGAAAAACTGCATAGTACATAATGAAAAGAGCCAGAAAGATGGCTATTGTCTTTATGGCCCTCATGTGGGCCTCTATGCTAGGGTCTCCGGACCCTGTGGCATGAAGTATCATCTGCTTGGTGTGTCGAAGTAAAGAGAAAAATAAAAGGACAAATGAGAGCAGGCAAAGAATAAAGGGAACCATAGTCCCCAGGTTCAGAATAATCCATTTGAAAACAGTTGGAATTTTACTTACTTTGAATTCCCAAGTAATGTTTTCTTCATTATTGATTCTGAAGTCATAAAATGAATCATTATTCAGTGAAACACTAATAATAGAGGAGATGAAAAAGGACATCGGAAGAATCCCGAGGAGACCCTGTTCATCTTAAGCTTCAGCCAGAGGAAAACTGGGTGGGATATACTGGCTATCTTGAATAAATAGAAGATGTGGAGCCACGAAGTAAACCAGACAGTTGAATGGTTGCAAGTTGTCCAGAAAATATCCAAAATGTTCATCATTTCACTATGCCTGTATGTATCTGGGAAGAGTACCATAATAAAACCATCCATATATATCACACACAACAAACAGGTTCCGGAGGTGGCCAGGCTGACCAGGATGACGTCAGCCAAGAAGGCAGCTCCCTTTTTGACCCAGCCACTGCAGTTTTCCAGTACAATGAATCCATTTCCCCAAATTCCTTTTATCAACTTGCCAGTAATCAAGAGTGTATATATTGCCTCCATTGTACCTGGTATATCAGCAGAGCATTCTGATTTGGACTGTCTACTGATGATGACTGACTTTCAGCTGTTCAGTAAAGAATGGTATATATGCCTGCCACTTAGGGCATGCAGCAGTTATCTTTTATCTGCCTTCTATATCAGTTGTGATCAGGTCAAGAAGATAGCCAGTTCTGCTCTGAGTTAGAACTGCCCAAAGACTTCATTGACCAAGACCAATAACTCCTTTCATGTGTAGTGATTATTGAAAAGCTCTAAAATGAAAATATAAATGGATCTGATTTCTGGTATTTGCACCATCTTTCTCATTTTAAACTCTGTGTGTTTCAGATTCATCAATCTATGTTGTTGGCCAGGGACTTCAAAAAGAATAAATTACTTGGAAAATATGGCTAAGCTTTAATTCAGAGATGTGGCATTATTACCATCTCTAATAACTTGAAGAGTTTCCCTAAAACTGTGGTCTATTTTCTACAAATGCAGGTTTTGGAGCTTAAAAATAATTGTGAATTTAAAGTGCAGAGTAAATGGTAAAAAGTCCAGATGGAATCCTCCAAATTTCTTGCTCTAACAGCATAATATATGGACAAAATAATTCATGCTCAGGAGAATTGCCAACGTTAGCTCCATCATCATTTGGGGATGATGAAACTTACCAAATCTCCATTAACAATATGTTAATTACATATCATTGGATTCCTATTTTATTGGGTGTTGCAATCAAGAACGAGTGAAATAACTTTTCCAAGTTTATAGAAATGTTTTTTTCTTTAGATTAATAAATCTAGTCAATTATTTGGACAGATTTCCTAATATTGGCTTATTCTTACGTTCCTGATATAAAATCTGCTAGTCTTGGTATACCATTATATTGGGGAAATGTTGGCTATTTCTGTATTCTATGATGATTTTTATATTGATATTCATAGCCCAAAGTGAAGAAGCAGGATTAAACTAGATTTCTAGAGTTCAGACAGGTTCTGGTAGCTACATAAAACTTGCTTCACAAAAATTTTTTTAAGTTCTGTTTTCCTTTTGTATAATCTAGAATGGCTCAGATGAAACTATCTCATCTTCAAAAGTTTGGTAGAATTTGTTTTTCATCAGCCTACAGCTACTCTTTTATTGTAACTTTTTGACAATGTCCACTTATTCCTTTATGCAAGTTAGTATGTTTATGTTTTCTTTTCTTTTAAAGTTTGTTATTAGTTAAGATCTATGTTCCTATCTATTCCATTCAAGTTTTAAAAATTATTCAAAAAGAATAATTGGAGTGGGTATTCATTCCCTTCTCCAAAGGATCTTCCCAAGCCAGGGATTGAAGCCAGGTCTCCTGCATTGCAGGCAGATTTTTTACCATCTGAGCCACCAGGTAAGCCCATTAAGCTCTCTACATCTATAAGGCAAGAAGAGAGTGCTGCCCTACTACGCATGTTTCAAGAGCTCATTTTTTGAATAGTTGCTGACTTTATCCCCCACCCAATTCCAAACTCCTCACTATATTCACTGAAATTCAGGCAAATCATCAGCAAAAATATTCCCATCAATTTTTCTAACAGCTCGTTTTATCTATTTGCTTGAACTTGGAGTCTTTTTTAAAGAGTCTTTTTATTTTGTGTTGGGGTATAGCCGACTAACAATGCTTTAATAGATTCAGGTGAACAGCAAAGGGGCTTAGCCATACATATACATGTATCCACACCCCCTCGCCCCAGCTTTCCTCCCATCCAGGCTGCCATATAACATTGAGCTGAATTCCATGTGTGATACAGTAGGTCCTTGTTGGTTACCCATTTTAAATATACCAGTGTGTACATGCCCATCTGGGCTTCCCTGGTGGTCCAGACAGTAAAAAATCTGCCCACAATGCAAGAGACTCAGGTTCACTCTCTTGGTTGGGAAGATTCCCTGGAGGAGGAAATGGCAACCAACTCCAGTACTCTTGCCTGGAGAATTCCATGGACAGAGGAGCTTGGAGAACTGGAGTCCATGGAATCACAAAATGTCAGACACGATTGAGTGACTAACACACACATGCATGTCCATCCCAAATTCCCTAACTATCCTGTCCCTCCATCCTTTTGCTCGGCAACCATAATTTGGAGTCAATTTTTGTTTTACTGGACAACTTTGGGAGTCTGGTGAAGGCTATGATTTCCTCAGAACAATGTTTTTAAACAAATAAAATAAAAATATATGAATTTCAAAGGAATCCAGATAGATTCAAATATAAGCATTTATATTTTTAATGTGACTTAGTAATTTACTGACCTAATAATGACATCACTATCACAATAATGATTTGTGGTTTCTGGAGGTGAAAAATGACAAGTAATGCTAATGTTTCTGTGACTGTACCTGCATTCAAACCTGAAGGAATGCTAGATTTATGTTAAAAACTACTAAAAATATAAATATTTGGTGCCCACACACATTCATAGATACTTTATTTTTTATTTCTTTACATTTTTAAAAAGTCTTTATTGAATTTGCTAAAATATTACTTCTGTTTTATGTTTGGTTTTTTTGACCGAGAGGCCTATGGATTCTTAGCTCCCTGACCAGGGACTGAACCCTCACCCCTGAGTTGGAAGTGTGGAGTCTTAACCACTAGACCATCAGGGAAGTCTCCATAGGCCATTTTATTTTAAAAACTAGAGTTATTTAACTGAAGGATAATTGCTTTACAAGGTCGTGTTGGTTTCTGCCATACATCAACATGAATCAGCCATAGGTATATATATATACTTATATGTGTCTCCTCCCTCTTGAACCTCCCTCCCAACCCCCACCCCATCCCAACCCCCTAGGTAGTCACAGAGCACTGACCTGAGCTTCCTACATCATATAGCAAATTCCCACTACCTATTTTTCATATGGTAATGTCAGTCAGTCAGTTCAGTCACTCATTTTTAACTGACTCTTTGCGACCCCGCTGACTGCAGCACGCCAGTTCCCCCTGTCCATCACCAACTCCCAGAGATTGCTCAAACTCATGTCCATTGAGTCAGTGATGCCATCCAACCATCTCACCCTCTGTCATCCCCTTCTCCTCCTTCCTTTGATCTTTCCCAGCATCAGAGTCTTTTCCAAGGAGTCAGTTCTTTGCATCAGGTGGTCAAAGTATTAGAGCTCCAGCTTCAGCACCAGTCCTTCCAATGAATATTCAGGACTGATTTACTTTTAAATTGACTTGTTTGATCTCCTTGCAGTCCAAGGAACTCTCAAGATTCTTCTCCAATACCACAGTTCAAAAGCATCACTTCTTCGGTGCTCTGTTTTCTTTATGGTCCAACTCTCACATCCAAGCATGACTACTGGAAAAACCATAGCTTTGACCAGATGGACCTTTGTTGGCAAAGTAATGTCTCTGCTTTTTAATATGCTGTCTATGTTGGTCATAGCTTTCTTCCAAGGAGCAAGCATCTTTTAATTTCATGGCTGCAGTCACCAGCTGTGGTGATTTTGGAGCCCCCCAAAATAAAGTCTCTCACCATTCCATTGTTTCCCCATCTATTTACCATGACGTGATGGGACAGGATGCCATGAACTTAGCTTTTTGAATGTTGAGTTTTAAGCCAGCTTTTTCACTCTCCTTTTTCACTTTCATCAAGAGGCTCTTTAGTTCTTTGCTTTCTGCCATAAGGGGTGTGTCATCTGTGTATCTAAGGTTACTGATATTTTTCCTGGCAATCGTGATTCCAGCTTCAGCTTCATGAAGCCCTTGCTTCATCCAGCCCGGTATACCTCATGATGTACTCTTCATTTAAGTAAAATAAGCAGGGTGAGTATGTACAGCCTTGATGTACTCCTTTCCCAATTAGGA